ATGCTGACTGTGCAACCTTCACTAAGTCACTGGCCTTCTCTGAGCCTTCATTTCCTCAGCATCTGAAGGGAATAATGACTAGTGGTTCCCCGGGCCTGTGGGGAGGGGTGGATGGAGAGTGACAGCTGATGAGTTTGGGGTTTCTTTCAGGGGGATGAAAATGTTCTAAAATTAGATAGTGGTGATGGATGCCCAACCTCATGAATATACTAAAAACCACTGAATTGTACATTTTAAAAGGGTGAATTTTATGGTATGTGAATTATATTTCAATAAAGCACTTATAAAAAAGTGGGGAGAAAAGGCAGGAGTCACAACAGCACTGTCTGCTTGGGAGTTGTGGGCACACAGCACACAGCAATTGCCAGTAGAGGATGGTGTTGGTGATTGTATACTGCTGGTGCTTACAAACGTCCCCCTAGGTCGCTGCTGCCAGGGCCTGCAGGCTGTCAAGCCACTGAGCTGCCCCCGGGTGCCTGGTGGGGGCTCCCCGGCAGCTGCTCCCTGGCAGGGGCGGGAGAGTTCATGGCTCTCCTCCTGCCTCTCGCTGGGTCCCTGGAGAGGAGGCTACCCACCAAGGCAGGCGGACTCCCGGGCTGCGCACTCGCCCGTCTGGCAGACACTCGTATTCTCCATGTGCAGCAGACCGTGAATTCACCTTCATACTAGTTACAGGGTTATTTAGCTTCTCCTGACACTGACAATCACAAACTTTAATTCGCAGCCTGGCTTCTCCCTGCTGTGCCCTCTGCCTACCCCCGAAATCCTTGGGAGAGGATGGGAAGGACCGAGGTCCAGCTCTCTCTTGCCAAAGCTTGCCCTTCAGAGTGATGGAGTGATGGGAGGAGGCAGGGATGGTCGGAAGGAGAAGATGATGGGCAAAGGGCCGGGAGAGAACAGTGTGGGAGAGAGGAAGTACCACCAGGGCTAATGGGAGCTTCCGCCTGCTCCTCCAGCCTGACACTAATGTATTCAACCTGACATCCCATCCTGTCCTGAGTGACGACTCGGCTGACCAGGCTGCTGGACAGAGGGTCTGACCAGGATGGATGGGGTTGGGACTCAGGCCTGGGGCTGAGCTCCAGGACAGGCAGTGGGCATGGGGCAGGCTGCTCTGTTACTGCTGGGCTAGCAGGTACCATCCAGGAGCCCAGCTGAGGGAGCCAAGTCAGGCCAGGTGGGACTGCTCCACACAGGGCTCTGCTGGTGCACTGCCTGTTGCTGCGCCATCCCTCTTCCTCTGATGAAGGCAGATGGATCTGCTCAAAGCTACTGCTAAACATCTGGTGGGACATCGAGACCCTGAGATGTCTCACTGACTACCCAGTCGCACAGCATGACATTGGTGCTGGAGACAGGGCTGCTGAGGCGTCACGTGTTAGGTCCTCGCTGCTGGGAAAAGCTGCTGCCGCCTGGCTCAGGGGCGGCCAGCCCTGGCAGTGGTCCTCTCTCTTCCCTCGGCTCCGACAGATCCCCTTCTTCTGTCTCCCCTGTGCCCCCACACCCTTTGCAGCAGTGGTCCAGCTGCCAGAGGCCCACAGAGGCCTGCCATTGACTCAGGGTCCTGTCAAGGCCAAAGATCTCATCTCTCAGCCACCCCCTGCCTCCTGCAGTCATCCCCATCATTCTTCTCCAAAGCCTCCCAGGCAAGTGACAGAGGGACAGTTTGCTCTGGGGAACAGGGGACCCTCGCCTTCACCAACTCCACGCTGGCCCCACCAGCCACTCAGCAGGCAGAGAGTCCCAGGAGCAGAAAGCCAAGCCAAGGGGACTCTTAAAGACCAGAGGCCTGTCAAGGACCCAGGCCAAGGAGCTTGGAAAAAGAGAAGCAGGGAAACGCACTGGTGGGCCCGAGGGTGTGTTCACTTCCTCCCGGCCCCATTCCACTGCCCCACCCCTGCCAGCCAGGGAAGTGGCCAGGGTGGCCTGGGCAAGAGAGATGTCAACGGGGCCGATGGGAGAAGGGGCTTGTTGACTGCAAACTGTCCATTATGGCTCAGATTATAAGCATATTGCACAGGGCTTCTCTGCACGATGCCGGGGAAATCCAATACGCTGAAAGGTTAATGCAATCAATTAGGGTGACAAGGAAGTAAAGTAAAGCCTTCCGAGTAGATGAAAAGGAGAGAGCGGAGAGGAGAGGAGAGGAGAGGGAGCCGGAGTCGCGGGGGGTGGCGGCAAGGCAGGGAGGGAGAACAACTCCCGGGGTACAGAGAAGGACTGGAGGAGAGGAGAGAGGCACCCAAGCCGGCGCCCACACAGAGGCCAGGAAAAGAGGCTGCGGAGAACCAGCAGGAGAGGGTAGCCAGTGAGCACCTCAGCTCCAGCCCCAGGAGCTGGACATGTAAAACTTCATTCTCCCCCGTTCCGCCAGCCTTTCCTCTAGGGATTGGAGCCTGGCCCCCAGGTTAGCCCACAGTCATGGTGCTGGACCAGGACAGCCTTGGCCATGACCCTGGACAGAACAGCTAACTGCCCACCAAGTAAGTTCCAGGGACTTCTCAGCTAGCACAGTGGCCTGACCCCCATGGGACCAAGCTCAGACCCAGACTCTTTCTTGGCCTGTTTCCCTGCTGGCAATACCTGCCACAGCCTTCAGGGCTAGTCCCCAAACACCCGGTTCTTCTTAGCCACAGTCCGAAGAGCAGAGCATGGTGGTCAGGACTCTGTTTTACAGACCGAGATGCTGGCACTCAGAGAGGTCATCTACAAGGCCATCTGCAGTACACTGCCCAGGGGGTGTTCCTCTTCCACAGGTTCATTGGAATCAGAAGCCATGCCTTCTCAAGGGATCAAACTCAGAGGTGCCCAGAGCAGGGGCAGCTCCGTGGAACTTGCCCAGAGGCCTGTCAAGGACCCAGGCCAAGGAGCCCACTGTGGGCCCACTGTGGAGACACAGACTCTGGGAGGGAGGAGGAACCATGTACTTCTGCTACCTATTGGGTCCTGGGCTGGCCGCTTTTAGCCATAACTCACTCACTTGTCCCAACAACCCTGCAAAGTAGATGCTCTTCTCACCATGCAGAAGAGGAAACTGGGTGTGAGGTTAAAGGCTACTTGGGTACTGGAAGTCGGAGCTGGGAGGGAACTCAGATGAGGAGAGAAGGGCTGGGACTTATAGGCAGGAAGACTGAGCAGAGGGTGAAGCCCTAAGGAGAGAAGAGATGGGGGCTCCCCAAGAAACCAGGACAGCAAACAGCTTGCAACCCCCAGCATAGGGCTCCCAGACAAACGCCCACGCCCCTCAGAGCAATCTCACTGAGCTCATGATGATGGCGCACAGCACTGTGAATGCATGTACTGCCAGGAAATGGTACACTTAACATCGTCACGACGGCAGATTTCACGTTACATATATTTTACCAGGGAGAGAGACACACACAGAGAGACAGAGAGCGGCAGCCAGAACCTCCAGGGCTGAGGCCAGAATCTTTTCTGTCAAGGGCTAGATGTGAAATATTTTATGCTTTGTAGGCCAAACAGTTTGTTGTAACCACTCAACTCTGCCCCTCTAGAGTGAAAGTAGACATAGGCAGTATGCAAATGAATGGGCATGGCTGTTTCCAATAAAACTTTATTTATAAAAACAGACTGTGGGCCAAACGTGGCTCAGGGGCCAGAGTTAGCCCAGGCCTGCTTCAGAAAATGGAGGCTCATGGGACCAACTTTCAGGACTTGCATGCCTGCTCCAAAGTTCAACCTGGACTTTCAAAGGAGTAGAAGTGGAGAGGAGAAGGGGAAGAACAAGTCCTAGCACAGGAAGCCAACTTCCAGCTCCCAGCATCCTGGGAAGCGATTCTCTGTGCTAGAGATTCTCAGGGATGATAGGAAGGGGTGGAGATTCTCAAAGGCCTGAGAGGAGGCTGAGGCTGAGAGAACAGGAAGGAGCAGCCAGAAGGGGGTGAGAAGGGGTGCAGGGAGAGAAAGGCCAGAGAGGACCCGGGAGCAGGCTGTAACCAGGGTGGTGCTGGCGGCAAAGGGAGGAATCCACAGGCCCCAGCGAGAGCGCAGGGCGCGGGCCGGGCCTGCCCTACACCGGGCCGCCTCTGATCACGTTTTCAGGGCCACTGCCCGCCGGCGCAGACAATGCTGGGGTAGCCTTTGAAGTACGAAAGGGATGCCGCAGTGGGAGCCTGGGGACTCTCCTCCCTCCCCCGTCCTCCCGAGGGGAGGGGGTCAGCAGGACAAAACCCGGAGCCGGTCGCAGCCGGGCCCCCGAAATGCAAGAGACAAAGGGAAAACAAACAGGTTTGGAGCCAAGCGCACGGTGCCGTGTCTGTCCCCCGCCCTGCCAAGAGGAGATGATGGATGGCTGCAGCCAGCCAGCTCGCCCGCCAGGCAGGCCCCGCTATTTACATAACACTGGCGTTCCACCGGTCACCTCTGACACGGCACTGCCTGGGGCCCGAGGCCCGGTGGCCCTGTGGTTCCTCGAGCCACCGGGGGACTGTGACAGCCTGTGAAGGTTGGGTAGACCAGGGCAGCCCCAGGTGCCCAGCCCAGGGGGAGTCCTCGGCTGTGGAAAGGCAGGGTGCTGTGGTCTGGGAGGAAGGAGGAGGCCAATTGGGTGGCCAGCCTTGGAGGGGACAGGCAGAGGGGGAGTTCCAGGGCTTCAAGCCCACAGGGTTGTCTGGCAGGGCCACAGCAGAGCTTCCAGGGAGAGCCAGCAGTGGCGGCCAGAGCGGTGCACGGTACGTACCGCCGGCAGCCCAAGCCCGGGCCCCAGAGTCCCACTGTCCCATGCTGCCTGGAGCACAGTCCTTGCCCCTGTCTGCAATGCATGAGTCCCCCGCCCATTTCCAGCCAAAGAGCCAATCAGAGAAGCTCTGCTGGGGCTCATCTTTTCTTGCCAGGCTCCAATGGGCAGCATGGCTCCCATTTCCTGTCCCCCCCACCTTTCCCACTTCTCCTGGGTACTCAGGATGACACATGTGTCATGCATGCGAGTGGTCACCAGCAGGAGAGAAGACACAGGATCATGGAGAAGGTGCACGCCTTACCTCCTAATGGGTCCTAGAGGTGCCTCAGATGCTGCTGGGGTGTCACTTCATCCTGGGGAGGAAGAGAGAGGAGCCTGTTAGTCTTTTTTTCTTTTTTTTGGTTCTGGGGACTGAACCCAGGGGCACTTTGACAATGAGCCACATTCCCATCCCCCTCTCCCCTGCCTTTTCTATCTGGAGACAGGGTCTCTCAAAGTTGCTGAGGACCTTTCAAAGCTGCTGAGGCTGGTCTTGAACTTGCAATCCTCCTGTCTCAGATACCCAAGACTCTGGGATTACACACCATGCCATGTTCCCCTTAGCCTTTTCAGTCAGGAACTCCACAACTCCCCAGGGCAGGCCCTCCAAGACTCTGTGTACCCCCAGGGTTCCCTGCCACTTTGTGGGTTGAGGGGCTGATGCTCTGAGGCCAGCTGCAGGGGTCAGCCATTTAGACATGCTGAGTAGACTCTGATTTTGACCCACTTAAGCACATACCAACCAAAGTCTGAAACTTCAGAAAACAGCAGGGCCGATCACCAGGGAAATACAGATCTCAGGACAGCCCTAACCAAGGGGAGGAAAGTCAGACCATGATTCCCACTCTTGTTCACAGAGGCAGAGATGGGAATCAGGCATGGGGGGCTCTGGTTATGGGGGGCTCCGGTTATGGGGACTACCAGTCCTGTGGAGCTGCAGTGGCTGAGAAGGGACGCCTGGAGACGACAGAACACAGCATTCTCCTTTACACTGCCCCCCCCACCCCGAACATAAAAGTGACAGATGCCAAGCTTTTGCTAGAGTAAGTGGGTGTCCAAAGGGCAAGGGTGGACCAGGGCAGGTATACCAAGAGGCCTCAACTCCTCAGGAACAGGCTGCGGATAGCACCTCCCAACCTGGGGTCCACCAGTAAGTCCCCACAACTACGTCCACGTAAGGAGAGAGAAATGGCCCAACAATGTTGAGGGTCTTTAACCAACACACGACTCAGCTTGGCCTTCAGGCTCAGGCCCTCCAGCCAACAGCAGGAGTGTGAGAAGCTTCACTCAGGAGAGACCCCCAGCACGGAGGGAAAACCCAAGGAGGCCTCTGCCCACCCACCTGGCCCCACCTGCCCTTGCTGAGCCGGCCCTGTGCTCTGGCCTCAGCATCAACCCTGCTCGGGAGAGTGGGCTCTTAGCTACATTTTTTCTTTCCTCTCCCTCATTTGTGGCTTATCAATGATGCAAGAGGAATAACACCAATTTCCTTAGGCCGTGTAATCCCCAAATCAGATTGGGGGGATTGTGGGAGATGAGGTGACCTTGCACAGGGCTCCCGGAATGCCACCCAGTCCCACCAGCCGTTCTCCCGTTCCCAGGACATATTTAGACAGATAATGCTAATTGTACCTGACATGCCCTCTTAAGGAGGGCTCGGCTCTCTGCTGGTGTTTGCTGCCTGTGCTGGGCTGGGGCAGAGGGGTACCCACCCTGCCAGTATAGCCTCTGGGAGGACTAAGGGTGTGGTGGGCATGCAGTGGTTGTGGAGGGCCGCCCTGCAGGCTTCTAACACCCACCTATCTGATGCAGATGGTAAGAGCTGAGGGTCTGCAGAGAGCTGGGCAGGCAAATGAGATAGGGGGCAGCAGAGAGAAAGGGGGAGCAGAGGAGGCCAGCAGAGGCCCAGCGAGGAAAAGGGAGGAGTCACAGAGGAGAGGCTAGCTGGGCCAAGTGGAAGGACCCCACAGCAGGCCGCAGGACCAGGCACGGAGACCTCAGGCCTCCACCAGGAGGCACCAGGTGGGCTCTGCTGGCCGAGCTCACGTCCTGGCCAGTCAGTCTGGGCCCTGGCTGGGGTGTCATCACTGTCCTGTCCATCCCAAGCTCTTCTGCCTGTGCTCTCTCAAGGCGTCCCGGCCAGCCTCCCTTGGACCCCCAAAGCCCCCCAACTCCACAACTCCAGTATCTCCCTTCTACCACCTTTTTCTCCCCTCCCATCCTCCCCGGCAACTGTGCATTTATTAATTCATGAGGCACTAATTAGTTCTTTGTTTAATTTTGTGTTAAACAGACTGACCGGAATGATAACGACTTGCAGCGCTGTGTTGGCGTCCCCAACCACCCCTGTTTTCTGACAACAAGGGAGCGCGGAGACCGGAGCGCTGAACCCAAATCCCTCAGCAGTTGCACTTCATTAAGTCAAAATGTGACAAGAAGCTTAGAGAGCAACTTGCAGATCTGATCGCACAGAACAATCGGCAGGAAACTTTCTAGGAGTTGGTTGGGGCTGGGGGAAGGGGGGAGGGGCAGAGATGCCACGTTCCAGGACCAGGATGCACTGGCCCCAAGCAGTTGGCCTGGTGGATCACAGCAGGGAGGCTGCCTCTGGGTGGATCTGGGACACTGGTGGATTCTAGGTCCCCGGGGGGCGGGGTAGGGGGCAGTGAGGAGTCCCCAGTACTACATGTTCAATTCTCTTTTCTTTTATTTGGCAGGGCCTGGAATGGAACCCAGGGCCTTGAGCATGCTAGGCACGCGCTCTACCACGAGCTGCATCCCAGCACCATTTCTCTCTCCTTGCCAAAGTATCTTCTCCTGTCTGCCCTTCTCTGTGCCTGATGCCTGTTCTGGCCCCTATGAGTAGGTGGCATACCCAAGGACTAGCAGAGTCAGGAAGTGGGTGTGGTCAGGAGGGATTCTGCCAGGCCCAGGAAGAGGTAGAGCAGCTGGGAAAACCAGAGAGTGGGGAGCCTACTCTCAGGGAGGCTCAGGATAAGCAAGACCCTTCTAGGCTAGAAAGGGGAAGGAACGTGCTCAAGGGTCATGGCAGAAAGTGCCCAAGGAATGCCAGCGTACCCACACTGTCAGCGGCCTACCCCTCCATCCATCCACCTGTCCGTCTGTCCACCCAGTGTTTAATCCTAACTACTCGAGTCAGACAACCAAGGACCAGAAGGTTGAGGACAGCTAACAAAGCTCATGGTGACAGCAACCTTGTGGCCCCTTCCTCCTGTCCATGGGAAAGATCTTGGCTCCAGAGGTGCCAAGCTACCAGCCCTATTGGCCCATGGTCCAGGTGAGGATGGTGGAATCAAAAGCGCACCCTGCCCCAGACCAGAGGCAGCAGCCTGCCCCCCTCCTGCCTGACCCCAGTGTGTGACAGTGAAGAGGACAGAAACCAAAGCCGGGGACGGTGGCCCAGAGAGCCCTCCCGCGCGAAGTATGTTGCCTTCTTCTTGCTGGCTGCTGCCTGACCTCTGCGGAGCTCGCCCAGCCCACGGGCCAGGAGGGGAGAGCGTGGGGCAGCCTGCCTCATGCCTCCCCTGGCCGGTCGGAAGCTCAGTGGTCTCCCACCCGAGCCTGGCAGCCCTGGGCTGGCTTCTGTTAATTTGCTGTCAGGCGGCCTAAGCAAACCAATTAAAACTAATCATTAATTATAAAAGAGAGTGAGAAGAGTAGAGAGGAGAGGGTGAAAGACGGAGATGGGGAGGAGGAAGAGGGAAGAGCAGGGGCCTGGGAGCTCGGTGGGGCACCCGGGTGGGCCGGGCCAGGAGGGGCAGAGGTGCTGGAGTCCAGGGTCCAGGAAGGATGGTGGAGAGTGAAGGGGGGGCAGGGCAGGGGCCAGCGTACCAGGACCTGGAGAAGGCTCATCCCTCGCAGTCAACGGGAGCCAATGCCTGGCCAGGCTCGGCCTCGGAGCCTCACCCGCGGCTGCCCAGCTCCGTATGTATGAGGCTCCTCTGATTATGCAGCCCAGGCCAGGCCCCTGTCCCCATTCTCCTACCTGCTCCCAACCCTCTGGGGCCATGGAGGCTCAGGACAGCTGTCGGGCTGCCCGGCTCCCCCCAGTGCTGGCTCCTTCCCCTGCCCCCATCGGCCTCCCGTCCTCGCACACCCCCTCTCCAGGCCTGGCCCTTTCACAGGGGCTGGGGCCATGTCAGTGGCAGCTTGAGGAGGGGGGCAGACAGACAACAAGGGGCAGCGTCATGGAAACGGGCACTTTCCCGGAGAAATATTCTGTTTGGCCCCCTCCCTGCATTGAGGAGCTGTCAGGAGTCTGGGTGAGAGTCACACTATCCCGGGACCAGGCGTGACAAAACCTATTTTCTGCCTCAAATTTGATTGATTAAAAAACTTTTTAGGAAAACCATGTTAAAAGAGGGGAAAAAGAGAGAGTGAGAGAGAGAAAGAGAGGGAGGGAGGCAGAAATAGAGGGGGAAAGAAAGAAAGATAGAAAGAGAGAAGGGGAGGAGGGCTGGGGAGAGAAGGCCACGCAGGGGCCAGGCAGGCCCTCCCCAGCCCGCGCAGTGCCCGCCCGCCCGGGGATGTGTGTCAGTGGGCCATCCACAGCGTGACCAGGCAAGACGGAGAGGTCACAGGACGCCCAGAACCTTTACACAGTGGTTAGCAGGACAATGAGGGGCCGCGGGCTCTGCGTGGTCCAGCAGGTGCCGGGTCTGGATGGGACGGCAGTCAGAGTGAGCTGCCCGTCCCCGCAGAGGGCAGGGTGTCCAAGACCTCCCGGCAGGGAGGCCCAGGTGGCTGTGTCTGTCCAGCACCTGGAGAGAGCCCAGTCTTGACGGGCATTTGTCCAGAACCCTGAAAAGTCTGCACAGGGTCAAGAAGGAGGACCTAGGGATTCAGGAACAGGAAAGGGGTTTGCCAACGTGTTCTTTTAAGCCCTGGCTCCAGGTTTGTTGGTGGTATTGGCCACTGCACACAGGACCTCGCCAGTCTACCACTGGGCCCCTTCCCTAGCCCTTCAAGAATTTTTTTTTTTTTTTAACAATAGTCATAAAATAAAAAAGCAGAGAGGCACCCAGCTTGGCCCCTCTGTCCTTCAGCTAGGAACCTTGCTGGCCAGGTTGGCCCTGGGCGCTCTCACTCTCCCAGTCTGTCCTGGGCCTTCCCAACTCAAGCCTTCATATGTCCTACTGGACGCTGTCTCAAATGATTCTCATGCATGGCCAGGGACTCTGAGGCTGATGGGAGATGCTCAAGGTTCTAGGAGAAGAGGTGCCCTCTGGCCCCTCCAGTGGCCCCTCCTGGGACCCCTCTGGAGGAGAAAATACTGCCACCATTTCCCCAGGGG